AGGAATCACACCTAACAAAGCAAACATCAGAGTTTTATAGACATCCATAAATGTATTCAGGTGGTACATTCCCCTATATCCATACATGGGATTTTGGGGATGGTCTAAGGAGGGGTTGACGTGGTCCCTAAAAGTTGAATCTAAGTTTAACTTTTTTCTTCTTCTTATCTCTTCTTTGGAATTTCAAATTTCTTTCTCCGGACACCAGCCTAACACCAGCCTGGTACGGAATTAATTTATGGCTACAGGCATCTGGCTAATTGCTTCTAAGGGAGATGGGGTGGGGGGATGGTGTGCTCTTTATAAAGTAAGCTAACCCTTTATAAGTAAGATAGAGTGCACTCTTACAGGTATAGTTATACATTATGTGAAACATATATATATCTCTCTATAGAATATATATAGAATATAAAATTGTGTACTAAAATAATGCCCTTCAATGCTTTATTAAAAAGCAAAGTTCCAAGTTCCAAAAAGTACCCTAGTATGATTCAGCATTTTGCCATTAGAATTTGGTGGTGCAATCCTGGGTGCTCTGGACACCACAAAAAAGGGGCCCAGGGACAACACTCAGCCCTTCACTCACCCATATCTATGGTAGAGGTTGATGCATTTCCTTTGCAGCATGCTACGGATCTATTTGTCTTGATTAAAAGAATTTAAAGTAAATTCAGATTACACAGGGGCAGAAAATCTGGTGGAAGTATTTAATTTTTCTAAAGTGCAGTTAAATGCAGTTCTCCAGCTTTTTAGGCCTTTAAAAAATACTTTAAATTAAGTATTAATTTTCTACCTCTGAGAAAACTGATAAGTGAAGTAACAGAACTATGGGTCCACTTATTTCAAACTGAAAAACCTTTCCTAATGAAAAAGAGGTTTCCTTTCAAATAGAACAAGCTAAAAATTTTCAACTCCCTTTTGCACAGAAGCTTTCGAGATGCATAAATATGCCAAAGTAAGCATTATTCAATATATATTTGATGAGAACCAAGAAGCAGAGATGGACAAGGGACTCTGCCCAGATAAAAATGGTGACTACTGCAATAACTGATGACTGCAATTCACCATAGGTAACAAATCGCTGAAACAGATATGACTTCTCAATATAAATTGTGCCTGAAATTGTTTTGCTGTCAAAATACAAAGTGCTGCCCTACCAATATTGCTTTGTAAGCAGTTGTGGCAGATTTGTACTGAAATTCTTTTAAGAACAGCAGAAGACTTAATAACTGCAAACAGAAGTTTTTTCCCCATAGTAATTTTAACACAAGCAGGCTCATACAAATAATTTCTGCATCAATAAAATCTAAGAATCTCTTGTGACTCTAGTTCACCTATGTAAATTACTTAATCCAGAAAGTCTTTCTCAATCATAAAAAAGTAATCTTCAAAAACACATAGTTGGAGACTTTTTTTTTTTTTTTTGCTAGAGGCAACAAACCTGGACACATAATGCTTGACAAGGAGCAACTGAGATATAAAGCAACTGAAAAATCTGATTAAGGAAGAAAGCATGGAGAATTACAACAAAGATATGGTCTTCATGGTTACAGTTCCAGAATTGGAGCCAATGCAGGATCATTAGACAGAGAACTGAAGTGAGAAGAATGAAGTAGATTTAAGACTTGTGAATAGCAGGTAAACACGCTCAGGTAAACGAACCACTGCAAATGAATCAAGGACAATTAGATGTAAGTATCTATCATGCATGGGTATCTTAGTGCCAATTCGCTGTCAGCCAACTCATTTTTCTCACTGGAGAAAAAGAATGGAAAAATTGGAAGAGAAGGAGTTATGAGATCCTAGAATAAAAGTGGGGTATAAACTAAACAATCAAACATACAAGAAGGCCATACTTGCTTAGATTTCATTTACCAGTGTAAAGTATAGAACACCGCTGCTTATGAAAATGGATTAAGAGTAAATGCACAGAGACTACCTCTTTATATAAGCATAAGAGATAAGCAGTAATCACCACCACTTGTGTGGTCCCTGGACAAATGTACCTGAAAAGACTAGTAACATAAGCTTCAAACTTAAGGAAACCAAAACGTGAGGAATTTAACACTGGAGAGGATTAAACTGCTCTTTTTCCACATTCAGTGCTGCGCAAATTTCCACTTTAGCGCACAGGTATTTCTAATGGAGGGTTTCTGAGAGACCAGACGATCTTGTCCATTTGTGATCTGAGGGAAGTTCAAACCAAATCTTCTGTGAGGCTGACTGATATCTAGATAGCACACGTCTCCTCAATGGAGAGATGCCAGGTCAGGAAACTTTTGAGAGGCATAGATAATCGTGACAAGTCAACATAAACCATGGCTTTCACAGCTGTCAAAGCATCAAGTGATGATGAAGAGGCAGTTGGCCAAATCCCTTCAGATCTTCATATGTCTTCTTATAATCAGTGGAATGTTGGTCTACACTACTCCTGATGCAGAAGCAGAGTTGGCCTGAGATACAACAGGACTGCTCAAGTGACACCTGAAACATTAATAGTTGCAGTATGCAATTGGTGTTCAGCAGTGGTAGAGGAAACTCAGTTGAGCCAATAGCACAATATGTTATTATCTCCCACCACATGAATCAGTACTATGAGCATTCATTCATTCATTCATTCATTCATTCATTCATTATGACTGCCCATCTCACCAAATGAATCTGGGCGGCAAACAAAATTAAAAAAAGAATAAAAACAATTACAATAATACAAAAATTAAAATACATAGCAGCTGAGAATAATCACCCATCATAATCACTATATTAACCAAGAAACGGGTCCCCCCACACACAGCAAGACATACCAGTACCAGACTCTAAAGCAGAATTCAAAAAGAGGATAAATTTCAAAATATCTTGAATAGAAATTGACAATATGGTTCCCAAATTAGCTCTTTTAGCAAAAGGAGATGGACTTCCTCTAAAAAAGCCTTGGAATTCAGCAGTAGATTATCTCAAAATTCAATGTGATATTCTTGGGCAATCTGTTATACAGTAGTGACCCACATACCTTGGAATCAGACCAGTCTCCAAATGATGGATATGGAAATACACTGTGGTCAATGACAGCAGCAAGAGCTGTGGATTGAATGCCTGTTGCTTAGGATAAGAGAATAGTACTGAGCCCCTGGATAAAGTTTGGTAAGAACATCCAAAAGGAAATGCTGATGAACTCCACACAAAACAGTCCATCCTGATCAAAAGGCAAGCCCTCAGTCCTAGATTCAGTTTCCCAAGTGAGCCCAGTATGATGCATAATGGCAAAGCACAATTGAGATTGCCATGTCTTCTATTGTCAAGTCAGCTGTACGATGAACAAAATTTAACTCTTCTCAGCAAAGCTTACCACCTCCATATGGAAAACTTGGACAATTTTGATATTCATCATTTCCCACAAGAAATTATGATGTTTTGCTTTACAGACATAATAAATAGCTACACTGATAACGTTTTTGCAACCAAAACCACATAATTTTCTGCTTTCCCTGTTGATCATCCCTTGACCATGATAGAATTTGGAGGCAATGAGATGAAGCCTCCTCAACACTGCCTGCCCAGCAGTAGACAATCCACCCCAACCCCCTGGTCACCAGCAGAAAGGCCACAGCAACAAAACAATCCCAACCCAGCAACAGCCAGAAGCATAAGACATGGCAACAGTGCCAATCAAGTAACCACAGCAGCAATAACGTGCTCACTTGGAACTACAGAGCCAGAAAAAGCCATCATCACCAGCCCAGCTGTTCTGAACAGGAGAATACAGCTCAGTAGCAAAGCTGGTGGGGCAGGGAGTGAAAGGGCTAGTTTTCTCTCCTTGTCAGAAAGGGACCATGAAAAAATGCTGCAGAAAAAAGTAAGGGGAAGTAATTCCGAAGTAACCCAAAATCACCATTCATCATTTGCAAGTATAATACTTCAGAGGTGTATTTCATAAGTGTAGTTAATAAATATAGTTAATAGTTATAAATTTACAGAAATAGATTGCAGAATTGTGAATGTAGGATTACAGATATAGAATTAAGGGTAAAAGTAAATACAGATAGTCCTCAGTTAGTGACTGTAACTGGGACAAGGAACTCCATCGCTAAGCAATGCAGTTGTAAAGCGAAAAATCATGTGATCGCACCAACTTGTGACAGCAGTTCTGGCTGCAGTTGTTAAGTGAATCGTGTGCAATTGTTAAGCATGATGTCACATGACCAAGACTTGCAAACTCCTGCTGGCTTCCCCATTGATTTTGCTTGTTGGAAGCCAGCAGTGAAGGTTGCAAATGGTGATCATGTGACTGCAGGACGCAGTGACCGTAGTAGTTCTGTGCTGGTTGCCAAGTGCCTGAATTACGATCACGTGACCATGGGGATGCTGCAACAGCTGCAACTTTAAGGACTGGCTGTAAGTCTCCTCATTCACTGCTGTCATAACTTTAAACAGGTGCTGAACGAGTGGTCACTAAGCAAGGACTAACTGTTTAGATTAATAGCAGCAAACATTTGTCTTATTAAAAAAAAGTTTTTTTTTTAATCATCATTGTTCAGGAGATATTCACTTCTACCTCTTTTCCAGAGAAGCCTAGCACTTGGGCTGTTGCCTAGAGGTTGTGGTGGGATAAAGCTTAATCCAAAAAGATAGAAGGGACCTGGGTTAAGAAACTATCTGCACTGGATAGAAGTTTGCAGTTAATCTTAAATTGAATTGCACCATACTTGAAGGATCAAGTTATACATTATAGGAATTATCTCAGCCTGTGTTAATTAGGGAAGCTTAGCAACTGAAAGGCCAAGACATCTTGTTTATCAGTTTAGGCTGAAAATCTTATGTAAAAAGCACACATGTTGCTTTAATTATCTATATACTGGTCTTGTCCAGGATAAATAAATTGCAAAGAATGACTCCCCGATGGCAGTCAATATGTTTAACCCAAATTATATATCTGTGGTTTTATGGCATTAATTTATTAAATTTGTATCCTGCCTTTCTGTTCATACAACACTCACATTGGCTTATAACAAATAAAAATAGAAATTGTAAAACAAAAACAGAAAAAATATAATTAAAATATTGTTTTATTCAACCATATCAGTATCAATCTGTATATGAAGTAATAGAATTTAGACAGATTTATTAATTGTAGTAAATGTAAATGTCAATATATAGTATATATAATTTGAGTGTGTGTGTGCATATATCTCGATATCTATATCTATATCTACATCTACACAAATATATATCTATATATCTATATCTATATCTTCATTCCATATTTATAATGCACATAAAGACCTCGGAAGAAAAAGAACTTGATCATGCAGCTTGTTTCATTCTTGTTTTGGCGTTGCAACAATGACTAAGGAACAAGCAGTGTTCCTAAGGGCCTGAATGCTGCCTTTTCATTGTGTAAAAAAATTTCAAGGAGACCAAGAATGAAGCAAAGTCAAGAGTCATGAGTTAAGTAAATTATGCTTAGTTTGTTGGGAAAAAATGCTTACAGCTTTTTTTAAAAATGGTTTTTCCCCTTAGCTTTTAGAGCATATAGGACAGGAAATGGAAAAGCATAATAGACATAAAATCTTCCATGAAAATGTATACTACATCTTTGAGATAGATATACAGATATAGATAACTACTGAGTTAAAATAGAAATAACTTTTATATGCAGCATACAAAATAACCTTTCTCCAAATTTTTGTCAGTTACAGCAGTGCTTGGAAATACTGCCACAGTCCAACCTGATTTTAACTAAAAGTTACTAAACATATTGTAAATATGGTTATCAACTAAAATAATGCCATAATCTTTCTTACACTGAGATTGATTTGTGGGATTCACTATCTATTGCCAAGTTTACACTACCAAGTAGAAAACAATGAACAATTGACAACAACAAAATCCCACAAAACCCAGCTTTTTGTAAGGGCCAGAATGGCAAAAACAGGAAGGGTGACCAGTAATTCTGAAAAATACTACTAAAAAAACCCTAAAAAGCTATTTTGAGAGATCATCTAATATGCACTATTATTTTTCTTACGCCTTTTCTCTCCCTTTTATCTGGTCTATAGTTTTCCATAGACTTTAAGGTCCCCTCTTTGCTTTGATTTATTGTGAGCACATCTTGCCTACACTAGATGCTTCCTCTATTTCAAGATTTGATGATGATATGATACTCTTAAATATCCTGAGCACCACAGGAAGATGGTACTGGTTTTGATACAAATATCTCTTTTTCTAGACTTAATTTCTTTTATGCTTTTTATAATTGCAATTTCTAGCCACAGGGCAGTCAGGCAGTTTAGTTATATGTAGTCACAATTATTTAATATATTTGCAGTTATGTGTGTATTATTTTGAGCTCTAATCTAGTTGTTATATCATATTTAATATGCAATAGAATTCAATAAAAAATTAATGTATTCCACACATTATTTTCCAGCTGTTAATCAAAACATGGTTTTGAGAATAACTCCATACATCATGCTAAGCCATAATGTACTTTGTTCAATTTTGACTTAGCATGTTGGGCATATTGCCAATAGGGGTTTCTTCAACGATTTAGTCAGGAAACAGTTAATTCAAAAAGCAAGTCTCAAAGAGCTCTGATAGTGATATTTATTAGAAAGAACAATAAGGTTACAACACAAGAATTCCAGCAAGTATTTTGCTTTCAAACGAGACATCTGTAGATATTATGGTAGCAATGGTGGTGGTAGCTTCAACAGGATAGGATACCTGCTGCTTTTTTAAGGACTGGGCAGCCTGCATTTCCTCATTGTTTTGATAGTTGCTTGTTCCTTTCTCAGTGTGAGAACTGACTTTCACAGTATGGTATATAAAGTTTTAATTTGTTCAATAGCTCTATTTAAATTAGGATCCAAATCCCTGAGCAAATTAAACATTACTAGAAATTTCTAAATCTACAGTGAAGCATATCTGCTGTGTGAATAGATCAATATTATTTTGTAATCAATTGTGAAATAGTCTAAGAGCCGAAGTTGGCAAACTGGGAACCAGTGATTCTTAGGCCAGGCAGAAACAATATATAAGCATTGAACAAGTACCTCTTACTTTCAAGGCTAGGAACAGAACAGAAAAAGGCTATTAACTTGAAAAGGCAGGGTGAAGGCCTAGAATTTAAATCCTGAGAATGATACATGTATACAAGTTTTGATTTCTGTATTCAGCAATAAGCAAATCTTCAACACATAAGGTAGTCCTCAAGTTACAATGGCAACTGGAACCAAATTTCCATCACTAAGCGATGCAGTCGTAAAGCTTGATGTCATGTGACCACATTGCTTTGTGATGGCAATCCTGGTACTCTCCACTGCCATTGTTAACTGAATCCCACCAGTCATTAGCCAAGGACCCTCACTGGGAGTATTGGCATACCACCAGAGGATTCTGGGAGAGTGAAGAGGAGCTTACTGCGAGCAACAGAGAAGTGAGACTTGGCTCATCGGTTCAAACTAGCAGCCCATGTACCTAATGGCATGCAAATCTTGTAACTAAGAATCTAAATCAGGAAGTCTACAAGGGAAAATCTATTTGGAAAATCTATTTGGATCTGCACAACCCTTAAGAGTAATAAAGACATGGAGAAAGAGGCTAGCACCATGGTGACCTGCAAGGTGTGTGTTATGTTTGTATTCCTACCCAAGGACTCCAATTATACCTGCACCAAGTGCAAACTGATCAGATTGCTGGAGGAGAAAGTAAAGGGTCTAGAGCAGTGATTCTCAACCGGGGCGGTGGAAGGATGCTGAGGGGCGGTGGGCATGTTTTGGGCGGTAGAGGGGCGATGAGCATGTTTTGGC